TAGGTCCAGGTCCAGGTATAGGTCCAGGTCCAGATATAGGTCCAGGTATAGGTTCAGGTCCAGACATAGGTCCAGATGTACCTGAAAGACAAAACCATGTTAAGGATAGAAAAAATAATTACAAATACAAACCAGGTTGAGCAGAGTAAGTAAAGACAGTAGCAGAGTGAAAAGTGTGGTCAGTTTGTCCTCCAGCAGTCTGAACCTATAGCAGCAGGACTAAGGGACAGCTCAGGAAACCCAAGCTGACCCTAACTATAGTCAGGAAAATGTTGTTGTTGGAACCTCGGTTAACCTCGGGATCAATAAAGTTCTATCTTAAGGGACGTTGTGAAGAGTTTGTCATTTAAAGATGTTTCCTTGGTGTTGGCAACTTAACGTTGAATGTTTGGTCCCCCACAGCTTTGTGAAAAACCCTGGACAGCCCACGAACCCCCACAGCCCTCGAGGTGCCTTTAGGTGTCTACTTATCAACGTCAGCATGAAGCGTTCACGCTGATCACAGAAAGTCCTGGATGAGTGCGACTGGTCTCAAACAGGAGCTGCTGTCAGGAGGAACATCTTCCATGTGTGACTCCTGTATGAGCAGCTCTCCTGCTCCACGCTGATAAACGCACACGAAGCAAACAAACGGCTCCTGCTTGTCTTTGGGCTGTCTCTCCTGCAGGAGTCGCCACAACGAGAGAAAGGATCGGTGGATGTTTTCCACCGGGTGTCTGCTGATGCACGCTGGGCTCAGAGCAGCAGCATCAGCACCGAGTCACAGCCCGGGTGAAAATACCAGATTAACTGCAGCTCAGACATGAACTCTGCTGCTGAAGGTTTAATCTGACATGAGTGATGAAGCCAGGAGTGGCCAGCAGAGGGCAGCAGGGAGGAAGTGAGCTCCTCTGAACACTCATCACATCAATGTTCTCACTGATCATTTATCCTCACGAAACACTTCAATAGAACCTGCTCACACCAGTTTATTTAATACAACATTTACAGAAACTTTAGCTGCAGAGTTTCTGCACAGATTACAAACAAAACTGACTTTTGGTGGAAAATCTAGACGTTAGAGATCTAGAAACTTGATCCTTTCGTGATTTAAAACCTTCTGAAGCCTCTGAAACAAGAAAATGGAGCTAGACTCCCGCTAGCAGAGCAAACGAGTCTAAGTTTAGCTTTTTATCGTTTTATGTTTGCTAACTGTGCACACTTGTTATGCTGCAAACTGAGATTATTCTGACACAGAAACCCAATGAATCCAATCAGCTACTTAGACTACAAGCATGTCTTAAAGACATAAAAACCTGGATGACCCTTAATTTTCTCCTGTTGAACAGACAAGACTGAGGTTCTGGTTTTTGGACCTGAGCACCTCAGGAATGAATGTTTCAGTCTTTCTCCCTCCTTAGATGCATTAATCTGTCCTCCAGCTCTAATGTTAAAAATCTTGGTGTTATTTTTGATCAGGACATGTCTTTTATCCCCCACATTAAAAACGTTCCTAGAACCTCCTTCTTCCACCTGCGTAATATCACTAACATTAGAAACATCTGATCTAAAGATGATGCAGAAAAACTGGTCCATGCATTTGTCACGTCTAGACTGGACTATTGCAATGGTTTATTATCTGGGTGTCCAAATAC